ATATATATATATATATATATATATATATATATATATATATGTGTGTGTGTGTGTGTGTGTGTGTGTGTGTGTGTGTGACCCGACCTGAGAGTTGTGATTCATTGCCATTTGAGACCCAGTTTTGTCCGGTAAAAGTGCAACTGGATTGAGGCGGAAATTTATACTTGGCAGCAGTGTGTTTTCGGCTTAGTGAATCGCCTACACCTTTTCCCATCAAGCTTTAACCAAAACCCGCAATGCTTAGTCTCGGCCGCCCATCTTTTGGTCAAAACCAGTCACACCTTATTTCTTAACCAAGCTTTGCAACATTAACATGTGTAGACAATAAAATGTTTCAACATTCGTTAAACTCAGAACATATTCCGACCCTTTTTGATCTAACGCGCCAACAACGGTATGACCAAAGTTTGTGCGTCGAGGATAAAAGACTACGGGTCGTGGCTAAAACATTACGGGTTTTAGCCAAAGCTTGATGGGAAACGGTGCAAAAGTGATGCTCTTTTTCAAGGAAAAAACTGAGGTTTTTCCACCGGTTAGCCTGATAATCTGAATAACACTTTCAGGTGATCTGAATTCTTCTTCCACGAAATTTGTAGAGGTCCCCCGCGATCTTCAAATTGGCTCCAGCGGCCCGCGCTTCCGACAAATCATTCTCCTCATCTCCTTGCTGTGGATAATTGAAATGTTGTCCAGGCTAAAAGTGTCAAGCGAAATTGACTGGTCGTGTTTTGTTCCAAAATGTTTTATGTTCTGCCATTATGGGAGGTGAGTAGTCACAGGGTTCATGGGATAATCTTTCTCTTTTATGAACTTGGTCCATGTTTTTAGAATTCTTCTCACAGATTGCATTGCGCGACTTCATTGCCCCTGTGTAGACAAAATCACATTGGTCTACGGTTACCCGAAATTTCTTTCGTAGAAAAGGTTGTATCTATTGATTTTAGCGCTTGTACGTTTCATTAGCAAAGTCAATAAATGTATCGTCTGGGAATTATCAAACCAGTTCATGCTTCTATTGTTCCATAAATTGCTTCTACAATTTAATCATTTCTTGGTGAATACGTGAGATAAGGGCGTGTTCCACGTGATGCACACTCAGGCTGCAGAACAATGGCGACATCATTTCAGTCGAGATTTTGAAAGTGTTAACCTCAGACGGTGGCCCCTGAGGTGAATGAGGGGGGGGGGAGGCGTATGAAACGGATGATTTCGGGGTGTTGAAGCATGTAATGTACTAAAATCAATTCCCCTTGATTACGGGTCTACTGAGTGAAATCTAATACCAATGGTTGTAATCCGTGCAAATCTGTGTTAAACGCCTACACTCCCGTGCCTTGTGGGTTAGAATTTTGAGTCAACATTTTCGGTTAGGGTTCCCAGAAAAAAATCCTTTCGTTGGTGTGGGCTACCGCGAAGTATGCCGTGCTCAAAGTCTTAGGTATCCATTTGGAAAGCCATCTTTCTCAACGGTCCACTTCCTCCGTTCACTCCCAAACCTTGGGAGGTGCATGCGGTTTGTGCCACCCATAACATATCATTCAGTGTTCAGCTAATGAGGTCAACCACTCCGAGGCTATCAGATTTTTGAAACTAAAATCCCCTTTTCTCTTAGCCGCATTTAATGTCTGCACACTATTAGATCGGTCAACAAGCAACCTTAACCAGAACCCTTGAAACCTTCCATTTAGATGTACGCAGCGTCTCCGAAATACGCACACAAGACCCTATTTAAACCATCACCTGACGATCTACAGATCCGACCTCATCCTCACGCTCCACTCTCCATGTGTCAGGTAATTCCGCATCCGAAGTTCGCGGTGTTGGAATTGCACTATGATAACTGTAAGGAGTCTTTATCACTGTCGACATTGGGTTATATTCATATTCTCGAAACTGAGATTTATATACTACGGAATTTGAATTGGGCTGAGATTCAGTCGTCTAATTATTCTTGTTTTAATAGAGGCATTATTTTTTAAGCAACGCCGTATTCCTCTCCTCCACGTGTGATTCGGTTTCCCCACACATTCTGTCCGCTTGTTGCATTGGCGGTGCACACGTTTTTGCTGTCGCGCACTTGAGAATGGCCTTGATTGGTTGATTGACTGAAGTGTCCGTCCGATCGATAAATCGATTGGTCGAAAGTAAGGTCTAATCAATCGGTGCAGGACGATGCGGCAAAGCGCGATGTGAATACGACAATTGCAGTCTGTGCTGCTCACGATAAAAAAATATTTTCTTATTTTCAAGATAAGGTTAGGACGGATTGATGGAAAAAAGTGGATATGAATATTGTGATTTGAGAGCGGGGCATTCTAGTAGTTTCCTGAGTACCGATTATCTCAATCAACCTGTCCGGAGGAATATGGAAGATGCGGAATGCATAGGATATGAGTGAAATGATAAGTACTATGGATTTTGTTAGCTGTTCTCGTCATATTTGCCATGCATGTTTGGTTGTGCATCGGGATGAGAAATGTTACCCATACTATCAGAACTGTGACAAACGAGGTGTCCGGGATGACCGGATTCGCCAACTTTCTGATGAACAGATTCGACCAGAGGAGTCCAAAGCGGAAATCGATAATGATTCCATCAATCCATTTGTCAATATCTCCATCCAATTGGGATTATAATTACGTTTTACAGGACGAACTGTTGAAATAATGCCTTTCACGTGTCATGTGGAATAAACGATAGAACGAACAATTTGGCCAATCGATAAATCTGTCTCATGGAGGAAAAAATCACTAGAGTGATCAATATGATTTGACGAAAACTGTTGTTAGAGATTAAACAATCGGTTACACGACAATAGGGAGTGAGTGACTGGTTGTAGGTTTACATTTTCTCCGTTGGCAACACTTGAACTACTCACCAACTAGAATTTGAGAACTACAAAACTCTCAAAACAACCAGCCAGTCCCTTTACATTTCAATCTTTGCTTGTCCTTTTCATTTGATATGCCAAATCGAGATGAAATGGTTCATCCATACTACCGCACAACAGGACAAATTATTAGCGAGAAAGTAAGCTTAATTTGTAACACTCACAATTCAGCATGCCTGTGGTATTGCGGTGGGGCGGGATGAGTTGGTTGGATAGATGAAAGCACGTGATTTTGCAACCGGAGTTTCTCAATTGAGGAATTTTCGGGAGTGCATAGAATGAGAAAAACCTTCAAAGTGATATGAATGCGCTCGTGTATGTATGTATGTGTGTGTGCATTTATTTATAGGTATTCAGTTTGGCGTAGACGGTAACATTTTTTCGGCGCCAGATTTCTCGAGAACATGAATAGATGAAATTGAATTTTCCGGGGAATAATGAAGGAATATTCCCGAAAATGGGTCATGGATCGGATTCGGCGAAGCCGATTCGGTACGGGATAGTGTATTAAATTAGTATCAACATACAGATAAGAGTCAGAGATTTGGAGACCGGGTAAAACGTTTGAGAAGACAGTCCGATAAATCAAACGAATGGAGCGATAATGCCACGTAATCGTAATACACCATGGTGTATGGGTTCGAATCACCGTAAATTCTATCTTTTTGCACCTTTGATGCCTCCCCCTAACAAGGATAAAGCAACCTAATAAGATTTCCAATGCTACTCGGTCGTTAATACCACATTCTATATACATTGGTAGAGGCATGACAGGTTGATGAAGGAATCGCAGTGTTTCATCGCTTGATTTCACAGTGATCAATCAATTTAATTTCGTAATAATGAGCATTTCAAGCGGTGATTATCCTTGACCTCGAGTGTCTTGCAATATTTCTTGCTTCCTCTCGTGGTTGGCCTCGTTTTCATCGATTAGCCTCCAAACGAAACTCTTCTCCCTTCTGTGCATGCTTTTACGCATGTGAAGCCGCTATACACTGCCCTCTTACCGAAAGCATTTCCGTTGCAATTCACAGAACTATATCTCGCAATCGATCGTACCACGGTTCATCCGGACTGAAATAGCATCACTAATTGGGGAGGAAAGTCTGTCTGTGTGCGTACGTGTATACCGGGAGAGCAGCCTCTGTACTTCAATTGTGCAGCTTGAATTTGTTCAACATCTTCTTGGAACGCTCAGATCCTTTAACATGGACTGTGTGCTACCCGGCAAACTTATTATCGATTCTGAGAGAATCCGTTTTCTATCTTCTTCAAACTTCTGATTGTTTACATGATCAGACTATATATTGCATTCATTGGTGGGCTTCACCTTATCCTTTGGCACTTTTTGACCGCGGTCTGCGCGGAAAAATTTGTGCGGTCCCTAATCCGAGTCCAGTTTTGCCTCCTCAACCACTTGCTCATTCCATCCCGGTCAATTGTCCACCATCATATTAGCACGGGGCTTTTTCAGTCTACCTCGGTGATCTTACCCTTCGTCCATATATTCGTGTCCCCTCGAGACCGGTTCAGAGTTATTAAGTCATCAGTATCACGAGATTGAAAAAGCTTCTTGATCAATAGTGTTCAAATCCTCATTCATTCAACGATTGCTGAATGCTCTTCTTTATCCTTTCAATGAATGAGCCACAGTGTTACCCTGCTTTGGCATTAGCCAAATCTCGAATCATCCTCATCGTTCTGCGGCCACAGATTCAACTTTACGATCAGACTGCGTGCCTCAATATTTTTAACATTTATCAATCACCATGTAGTCAAGGTCATCAAAATAGCTACTCGGAAGTCCTGATTTCGAACTGTGTCACCGCCGACAACCACCTTGTTCATTTCTGTATTTCCCCTGGTAGCCATTGTGCAACAGCGATTTGCACTTCTTGAAAGCTGACCGTATGCGCATGAAAAGTCAGATATATACGACTATGATATTACTCTCATCTACGTAATCGAAATACGAGTTTCTTCTTGTAGACCACGAAAATAATCTTGAAATAAATAACTCCGGTTCTCGTCGTTGTCAGACGAACGACACACGATCACTGTCGGATATTCCACACACACACACACACACACACACACACACACACACACACACACACACACACCGAGTTTCAATTTTCATCCAGACCGTATTCACGCCCACACCGGCAGAGTACGACACTCCAACAGTGGTGATTTTACGTGTTACACAAAGTTGACGTGCGTTGCTGGTGTCAACTATGAAGTGGTTTATCATGAACAAGACCTTGACGTGAATCTACCAAAAGGGTAGCATCCCACTAATAATGATAATGCCATTGTGTGTAACTCATCATGTACAGAACAAAACAAAGTGTGAACGGAAAATCTAGGAAGCATTGCATAGCTATTTCGACCTTGTCAGGGCTCATCAGTAGTGCGAATAATGCTTATAACCAACAGTTTACTTCTTTTATATGGGTAGTGATAGAGGGAAATCTGGACGTCGGTGGTGACAGTTGTTGGATTCAAAATTCGGGTCACCTGAACTGTGCGGCTGTAGTAGTCGCATTGGGCACATATTATGAAACACAAAAGTAACTGTAACACTGAACCGGACTAGCACGTGTACGCCAAAATCTCCCGTCACCGAGAAGCAGGACAATCGCCACAGATTCACTTATTGAAAGATATCAATGGCTCGGTTTTATACTTGACGTCATACAGCCTCTGTGGGGACCGCATGACTTTCGATTGGCCTGTGGTTGGTTGCCCAGGAACTGTAACGCGTCGCACAGTGGCTGGTGTCATCCGGGAAGATGGACTCACCACAGTAACCAACACCGTCTTTCACGTTACGGTGGTAATCGTCTTCAACAGTTGAGTTTATCACAGTTCTATACAAACATGCTTGTCAATTAGCTCGTCCGAGTGGAGTTGACGTGTTTCGTTGTCTAGATGGCAACTGTCGACACACAGATCACGACCGAATACAACCGAGATCCAGATTAAGGTGGATTTCCGGTCCCACCGAGCTACACTCAAATTGAACCGAAGACCGAGAACATCAATATCCGATAGGACAATGTGATTGTGCGAACCCAAGAGTTAGCAACTTGATTGGGCTGTCCGGATAATCGAATAATCCGGGATTTGACCCTTTTCGATTTAAGCACACGCCAGAAACAGACAGGATGCAAGCATTACATGTGCAAGAAACTGCGCGAGGGTGAATAGCCAGTTAGGCTTGACACTAGTTTCATGATACCACTTGTTCTTGGCGTTGTTTTACTACTTGGTTGCAACGGGTAGATTTGAAGGATCGCACTCTGAGAGATTGACAGGATAATATAATCCATAAGCTAAGAAGCAGGTGACACTTTGACTTGGAAGTTGTTGTCCGGCACTCTAAAAACCCTTCGGTCGCAGGACTTTATTGCAACGGTGTCAAATTGAATCAGCAGTGATCGCTTCTTGTGCAGCAGTTCCGGAGCCAGTTTTCACGCCTTATCATGACTGTTTTTATTATAACTTAGCATGATGAACAGCAGATGGTGAAAGCCCCATAGTCGCAAGGACCTGCTGTTCAGTGATAGCACCCTAAACCGCGGGACTTGGAGTGGTGAACCACATAAGGCCCCGCTAGATTAGGCGTGGTATTGAATCAGACGACAGCAAAGCTGCCTATCATCCAAGTTGGACGGCGTTGGCGGGACAGGAACTTCGGACCATAAGGTCCAAACCAATGCAGTCGGGGTTTGTAGGCTGCCGGTGACGCGTTGACCCAAGAGATTAGTTAACTGCAGTAGGTACGACAACTCCAGCGGAGGTTGTGAACGAAATGTTACTCGGGGCGGGGTGAGAGAATTGTCAAACGAGTCGTACAAGCGATCACATTAAAATCCTTTTCGACCATCTTCTGCTTTGGAGCAAGTTTGACGCGAACTATGTACATCTCACAAAACTAGGACCACAATCGGCAAGCCAACGTTCGCCAAAGACAGAGTTATGGACAGAGTGAGAGGTAACAAATAACAAAACCGTATTATCTGTTTTAAGATAGCAGACACTACCACTTCGCAAAGAAAACTGTGGAAATGCGAATTGGCCAACATAATGAATAGGAATCAACACCGGAAAACAATTTTTTTCAACCCGTGAACGACTTTTGTTGTGACTCTTCTTGACAAATTCTGTTTAGCGATACCCGACGATTTGGATCACTGAGAAAGAACAATCAGCACACCCTTAAACCACCAGACTGTCAAACTAAAGCAACTCGGTCGTGGTCGTGCCTCGCAACTGGTTTTACTTCTCCGAACAAGTTGCTTGGACTGATTGTACAATTTGTGCAACCTCAACCGACCGTTTCGAGCAGTGTGCAGCCTAATTCAGTTGACGGGAATCGAGGTACACATTGTCTCTATCGTGGGGGCTAGACAACGGCTTTTCGTGGCATCAAGCTGTTCTCTTTCGCTCTATTTGGTAAACCTCCGATGTGGTTAACTGTGACCGAATTCTCCCACACTTCTTTTTGGAAGTTAGTTTCATCAATGCCGATGAATCGAACCCAGAACCGAAATCACCTGCATATGCACTCGTAGCTTGAGACAGACACATCCCGAAGTCGGCTCATCCCGCCTCCCGACAGAGGAGGGTCAAATTAAAGATAGTGAGCACATCGTAAGGAAGGAACCAATCAGAAACCTGATCATGTACCAGCAGGAACACAATTGGTGGAGGTTGCATTTCTGGACAAAAAATTCCCAAGTTCCGATAAACCCCCAAAACGAATCGTACAATGAACACGACCAACCAACGTGTGATCTGTTACGTAAGTTCTCGCATTCTTCCAAATACAGTTAGTATGATGGAAGTACCATCTCACTCCATTTCGGATGCACTAGGACGAGCATATTTCGTGTCGGTACTTTGGTGTTGACTATTACGCCTGTGCCCAAAGTTAGGACTGGGCGTCAAGTGACCAAATCACGGTAAATGCACTGGATGAGGTACCCCAAGGTCGATCATCATCATCATCGTACAGCGAAATACAGAGAAGCGAACTTCACTGATCGCTGCCAAACTCGCAATCCATATGCACTGGGGCTTGATGGACAGGTACTGCTAAGGTGTCCAGCCAATAAGCCGGAGAATGATTGGGGTTCTAAACCAAAATATTTAGTTTTGACAAGAACCTAACCGCAAAGCAGCGAGTGAAGCGAAGTGGAGGTCCATTTATTTGGATTGATTACTCTTCCACATTTTTTACCGACTGAGACACAAATTCTGGTCGAACCCCCAACCTGAAGGACCAAGAAACTGGAATTCGTCTGACCTCTATCCTTCGACCTTCCAGGCATGATCAGATCTTCGGCATGAAAAAAGCCATCCTGTGTAGCTCGTTGGGTCAGAGAGGTGCACAAGCTATCACACCACTTCAAGGTGCGATCTCGTCGATCTGACGAGAATAAAGGCGTTTTTGTGTGTAATGGAAAATAGTATCACATCAAGATAGGAAAGTAGGTTAGTGGAATCAAACACAAATAGGGGGGGGGGGGGGGGGGGGGGG